GACAGGAGAAAACAACGTTCTGTTGACGGCAAGGACAGAGCACCCGTAGCAAGTGAAGATGACAAAGAAGCGTAATGTTCGAGTGGCGTAAAGTGAGATGCAGCAAGCGTGACCAGATGGCAATGAAGGACGTTGAAAGATGGAGTAATAGTGAGCAGCAAAAGAACTTTGGTAAAAAAAAAAAGGCAAAGTAAAAAGTAAAGCAGGAAGAAGAGGGAAGAAAAGAAAAAAAAAAGAAGAGCGAAACAGCAGCGGTACCCCCTTGCTTCAGGTATATATACCGTTCTGGGGCCCCGAGCCCATCGGAAGAAGATGCTTTCCCATACATGCAGTGGTGGTGGGTAACCATGACAACCGCGGCTTTACCCCTTTCAACCCTTTTCCCATGCTTCCTTTCTTTCCTTTACTGCTTTTGCTACGCCCTTCCTTTTCCATTACTCCTCCTTTTACTTTTCGCTTCTTCTTGTTTACGCTTCCCTTTTCGTTTTCATGCTGTCACTCCGCTCGACTTGTTCTTTCTTTTTTACGTGTGCTACGTTCTTCCCTTTTCGTTCACTCTTGTCATTTTCCCACCCATTCCCTTTTCGTTTCCGCGTTCCCTTTTCGTTTCCGCGTTCCTTTTTCGTTTCCGCGTTCCCTTTTTGTTCAGTCTTGTCATTTTCCCACCCATTCCGTTTTCGTTCACTGCTTGTCATTTCCCCCCCCCATTCCCTTTTCGTTCACTATTTGTCATTTCCCCCCTTTCCCTTTTCGTTTCTACGTTTTTCTTTTCGTAACCATGGTTCCCTTTTCGTTCACTCTTGTCATTTTCCCACCCATTCCGTTTTCGTTTCTGCGTTCCCTTTTCGTTTCTGCGTTCCCTTTTCGTTTCCGCGTTCCCTTTTTGTTCAGCCTTGTCATTTTCCCACCCATTCCGTTTTCGTTCACTGCTTGTCATTTCCCCCCCCCATTCCCTTTTCGTTCACTATTTGTCATTTCCCCCCGTTCCCTTTTCGTTTCTACGTTTTTCTTTTCGTAACCATGGTTCCCTTTTCGTTTCCGCGTTCCCTTTTTGTTCAATCTTGTCATTCTCCCACCCATTCCTTTTCCGTTACTATGTTCCCTTTTCGTCACCGCGGTTCCCTTTTCGTCACTCTTCCAAAAAGAGTTTGTCATTGTCATTTTGCTTTCCCCTGCTTAAACGTGTCCGACATAGATTTATAATCTCGTGGAAGCGTCCAACTGCACGGCGCTCAGCCGTGTTGGGCTCGCGATTTAGGTGCTGAACGCCATAATGCTGCAAGACGTTCATGTTCTCACTAGCACAACGCTGCAATGCGGCACGAAGAACATCTGGGGCAGTAGAAAGTAGGCGGTTGTTACTCTCGATGTTGATGTTGTTGGATAAGACGCCAAAATATGGCATATCTTGACGTGCACCGAGTTTTTGCACCAGACAGCGGCTGAAACGTTCATCATAGGATCCGGTGGATGAGACAGGACAATGGTGATGACGACGTGTTGCTGCCGCTTTACAGTAGTAGCCACAATGGTTGCATGCGAATCCAGGCTCAGGATCACCAAGTACACCAACGCGAGGAAGCAGTTCGGTGGTAAGATGCTGTGCATACCGGTATTTGTTTGTCACATCAACTCCTTTGGCACCTTGGGCATACAGTAGATTGGTGAATTCTTCTTGCGAGTATTGATTAATACTGGGAGCGAGCATACGATGGGCTGACTGGATATGGCTATATGCTTCAGTCGTTGGAATAAACACATATCGGTTATCGTGGTTCCGGTTGGAACAGAAAAGCAGGCCACTCGTACGGTCAATAATAAGACCCAATCTGCCAATCAAAGCAGCACGCTCTATAAACGTGGTAGCATATATCAGTATGAGCCTTTTTACATACGCCACAGCAACAGCAACATCATTTTTATTTACCATGAGCCATTGGCGCTTCTTCATCGTTGTCAACATCCATTAGTACCGGTTGTTGCTCTGGCGATTGCTGTTGCCGTTCTTGTTGTTCATCAACGTCCATCGCTCCCAGCTGTAGCTCGGGCTGCTGTTGCTGAACCTGTTGCTGGACCACTGCTGGCGCTGCTACTGCGTGTAAAGCTAGATATTGTGGATGTGCGCGGCGGTGGGCAGAACGAGGTTGTTGAGCAGGCAATGTTGGTGACATGGACCGGCTTTCTTGCGGCTATGGTCGACGTGGAGCTCTGTATAATCGCGACTGGCTAACTGTTGCAGGATCAAGAAGGGCATTGCAAGTGTCAACGAAATGGCGATGGAAGTTCAAGACGCCTTCAACATATTGGCATTGCGGGCATGTTACAAAGCCTGGCGCGCCGTCGCCGACCCTGTCCACTACAATAGTAAGCGTTGCTGCACAAACACATATGAGTAACGTTTTCATATTTTTAACGAGTAAGCACAATACAACCCCAACCCCAATATGATGACATACCATAATTGCGCAATGTTACCGTAACTTGCTTTTGGTGAAATTGTTTTCTATGGGTATCCATGCTTGTTTCCACATGCTGTCCACATCTACGGCATACCGCACCAGAGCTACTAGGCTGACCGCTGTTGTTTGTAGGTTGTTCGGGAGGGTTCATGATATAGTGGCTGTTGTTGGATGAAAAAAAAATAATACCGCAGTATAGTAGTGTTTTTATATTGATCACATAATCCTTTCTCTGCCACATCCACATAATTATTTTTATCTCTGTGCTTTATTGCCAAGTTGCGCTACATTGTACTATACGGCCATAAGTGCGCGATAGGAAGTTACATTGTACCTGTTTAATTTACACCACACTACTTTGTGGTTGGAATTGCATTGTCGAGCACGATCTATTTTAAGAACATCACAGATAACAGCCACCCCTACTTTCACATGTGCGCCACAAAAGCTCTTCTTGTCACTCACAACTTACGTAATTCTGCCACATGGCTTTGTGGCTCGTCTTGGCAACTTCTCTGTCGGAATTGTATTGTCGATCACGATCTATTTTAAGAACATGACAGATAACAGCCACCCCCACTTTCACATGTGCGCCACAAAGCTTCTTCTGCTTACAACTCACGTAATTCTGCCACGCCACTTTGTGGCTCGTCTTGGCACACAATACCCCTTTGATTTATTTTTAGTTTTCTCATTCAACAACGCAGACAGGTACCTTGCCACATATCGAGGCTAATACTTGGCAGTAAAGAACATTGTCTCCCTTTATTCTTTTATTGGTTTATATCTTCAAAGCCCGGCATATCGTCTACTGCTATACAAAAGATGCTTGCTCAAAGTGCATGTGCCAACGAGAAATGAAAAACTATATAAAGACGCCGCATTTGCAACAACAAAAGAGCCCCATATACACACCCACTCACATACCTACTTTAACTTCTTTTCAATAACCGCTTTCACTTACGCTTTCACAATGTCCAACTACTACAGCAACACCCACTTTGATTATAACGAAGAAGCTGGTACCTATGCTAATGTCGAGCAACTGACCGATCCAGCCTTCCAGGATGCCCAGCGAACGATTGACCGGTAAATAGATACCAACACTTGCTTTTTTTTTCTGGTTCTTTTTCGTGCCTATTGAATTCGCGTTAACTTGCATAATTTGTGCTTATCATACCTCTTGTTTTTTTTCCTTGTTAGTGAGGAAGCAGAACGAATCCTCTACTGGCTTCGCGATGGTGTCCCAACGGCCATGAATATGTTCCAAGAGACCATGCGGACGGCGACCTTGGCGAGCGGCGATCACCCACCTGAGCCCTCCGTTCTGATCCTGGACGATAACCTTATGTCGATCCAATACCGCACCACCAGGGTCGACCTTTGCAATATCCAGGTTGGTGTCCAAAGCCTCCTTCGTCATTGCCGTACCCACTTGGAGGATCGCGTGTTGCGTGGTTACCGTTTGCAAGTCCCCTTTTCCACCTCCTCTATCCTTGACGAAACACGAAGCGAGGATCCCTCCGTCGACTTCTTTTCGCGTGCTGGCAACGCCACTGCCGATCCCACATACCTGACGGCCTTAATGAACCACCTGGCGATTGAGCACACCAGCGAGTTCGTTACTGGTGTCACTGCTAGTGGCGATCTCGTGTGGAAGTTCGACAGCCTTTTCGCCTGGCTTCAACAAGCACAAGAGCTCGTAATGATCATCATGGTGCTTGTCCACCTTACCAGCGGCCAGCCTGCTCGTGGCGAGGAGCTTGCTGCCACAACGATCCGCTCATCTGCCCGTGGTGCAAGACGTGGTGTCTACTGGTACCGTGAAAAAGTGATGCTCGTGCAATACTACTACAAGCGTCGTTCGCGTGCTACTGGTGACCGATATATTGCTCGATTCCTCACAAAGGAATTGAGTGATATTTTGCTCATGTACCTTGTCCTCGTCCGCCCTTTCGAACGGTATGTATTGTATTCTTGTTTTTTTTGCCAAAGCGCACTTCACAATGTATTGAATTTGCGATGCTGGTTTGCTGATTTGCCCAAATTGTTGAAATTGAATCGTTTGCAGTTTCGCCTTCAAGGAGACTCGCGCTGGTGAGGATGTCCACGTCGGCATAGAAAACTACCAGAACTTTTTGTTCGTGGCCAACGGCAACGTCGTTACAGGTAGTGAGCTCAGTAAGAAGCTATATCGGTACGTATATACATGTCAGCTAAGAAATACCCAACAACAGTGCACATAATTAATTGATATACTTGCCCTTTTTAAACATGCATCAACAGTTTTTTGAAGGACTTTGCTGGAGCTGGACTTGGCCTCCAAGGATACCGCCAAGTAGCCACGTTCTTCATGCGCCATCACTTGCAAAGAAGCAGAGCTTTCTTGGAAAGCCCACAGGAGATCCGTGGTGACCCGGATTCAGACCTGGACAACGATGAAAACGTGGATCTGCCCTCAACGACTGGTGAGCAACGGCAGCACGCCACCGCTCGAGCCGTCGTCCGTGGTGCCCCTTCATTGAACACTGAATTCTTTGATCTGCAGGCTGCACACAGCGGTTCTACGGCCGGCATGTTTTACGCCCGTACTCCCAGCGATTTCCGGTATTTATCATCTGAAGCAATACACGAGTTCGACCTCTGCTCCCGTGAATGGCAGAGCTTGTTGGGTATGTATAATTCTCGTGGATCATATAGACAAAAGAGACAAGTGAATTAATTACGCATTCCCTGATTATGTAGGTATTGCCGACCATGTCACGCCATCCACGCCTCCTCAACAACAATCTCAACAACAACAACCTCAGCAACAGCCTCAACAACAACCTCAACAACAGCAGCCTCTCGCCCTTGCTCCTCCTCTCTCTCAATTACCTAGTCAGGTCAACAGCCTTCTTGCGCAGGCCGCAGAATGGTTCGTTGTTGCCATCCACGAAAAGACCACCCGCGATATCTCACCAATTATCGTATACAAGCGTGAGTTTTTGCCATGATTGTTTTATATTTCGTCTACCTCCGTCTCCTTCTTTCACTGATCTTACCTTTTCTCTTTACAGCCGTCCTCCTTGAACACATCAACGGCTTGCGCCAATTCCTTGACGACGATAATGCCACGTTCCGGTCTCGCGAGCAGGCTTTAGCTTTGCCTCTGATCATGGAGCGCCAGCTCGATCTGCTCGTTGTGCTACCCACAGGCATGGGCAAAAGCGTGCTGTTCTCGGTACCACCACTCCTTGAGCCCGGCATGCTCACCATCGTTGTTGTTCCTTTGGTGGCCTTGACTGGCGATCATGTTCGACGTTTAACCCATGCCAACATATCCACAGCCTTGTGGCAATGTAAGTCTTTTGAACCAACATCTTATTTCAGCACAAATTCTGCAATCATATACTTATCTTTTTCCTATGCTATTATTAGCTGGTCGCGCAACGAACACAAATGCGCAGATCCTGCTTGTCGCGGTCGAGCATGTAGCCACCGCAAACTTTGTCACCTTCTGCTTTGAGCAGCAAAGCCGGATCTCTCGTTTCGTGGTTGATGAGTGCCACTTGGGCCTCACCTGGTTGTCCTTCCGTGTGGCCATGCTAAAGCTTCGAGTCCTTCGGTCCATCCCCGTCCCGCTCCTACTACTTACTGCAACGTTGCCGCCTTCTATGGAAGACGAGGCCCGTATTTTCTACGGGTCTAACTTTGCAACGATTCGTACACCATCCACCTCCCGCCCCAACCTCGCATATTCCTTGCACCCGCAGGAAAACACCATATCAAACCACGCAATCATGACGACGTTAGCCAACGAATTGCTCCATCATCACAGCAATGTCCGCGGTATTGTTTTCTGCACGTCCACTACCAAGGTCAATGACCTACACGAGTTCCTGGTCCAAACCGACCAGTACACAGAGCTCAACGCCTGCAAGTACCACAGCAACCTTGACGACGAAGAAAAGCAAGAACAGCAGGACAGGTGGATGCACCAAACCAGCGGTATCATAGTGGCTACCTCTGGTTTCGGGTTGGGCATCGATGCCCCTGACGTGCGCGTGGTGCTTCACTGGGGATTGCCCTACAGTTTGTTGGACTATGCCCAGCAAACTGGTCGTGCTGGTCGCGACGGGCTACCTTCAACGTGCCAGTTGTACTTCGTGCTGGATCGCGAAGAGAACAGGATCACCAGGATGAAGGACGAGCAAGAAGACCAACTGAAGATCAAGGATGCAGAGGAGCTGGTTACATTTGTCAAGGTACTACACAAGTTTTCAACTTATTAATATATACATACGATCACTTCCCCTTTTAAAAACCGTCATAACTAATATCATATTTCATAGGCCAATAGCTGCATCCGTTTCCAATTACAACAGTACCTTGATGGTACCGCATCTGTCAACTGCCTCGCCGACAACACTTATGAAGACTGTGGCTACTGTTCGGTTTTGCTGGCTGGTCCAGTCCGTCCCCCCCGCCAAGACCGTCGTCAAGTACCAAGGATATCCATGGAACTCGAGGTGGAAACCAGAGAGGACAGTACAGTCGAACCTCCAGCACCACGCACAGGGGTATGCATTCGTCTTTCTCTCTTTACAACAACTTTGTTAGTCTTGAACACGTTTGGCTCATTCCTTTCTCTTTCATTATTAGAACACACCTTCCATCGAATCTGTTGCAGGCCAGCAACAAAGCAACACCATCCACAACACCCACCGTGACTACAACGACAGAGTACTTGAAAAGGCCGAGGACATCTACAGAAGCCAAGTCTGTATTCATTGCGTGCTGGTGTACGGGCAAAGTTGCGGTTACCTGCCAAGGGATTCGTTCGGCCACGACGGCTATTGCTTCAAGGAATTCAAACGTTTTGATGGTTACCATCGCTGTATCAAATACACGTATGTCTCTGCAGTACCGTTCTTTTTACGGATGTATTATAGTTGCATACTTACTTTACTTTTTTTTTCTTTTTCTGGTGTCATAGACCCGGCATGTGCTTCACATGTGGTATTCCATTCCACAACAGCCTTTATCAATGCAGAAGTAGAGGTTGTAACCCGGCAATCGCAAACACGGTGCTTCCTGCTTGTTGGGCAGTCTTCAACACACGCAACCAAGACGCCGACCATGCCCGCTTCCTCGCCGAGAACTGTCCGAACATAGACAGCCGTGCCACCTTCCCAACAACGGACCAGGAGTTTGCAAGCTGGTTATCCAACAAGGATCTCGACAATATTGGCAACGCCATGAAACTGTTTTTACAGATTTTCGAAGAGCTTATTGTGGAGGAAGAGCGACACGCGGACCAACACTAAGCCTTTCTTTCCGTCAGCTCTCCTACCTCTTTTCCCTCTTCTCTTGCCCCCTACATACAAATCTGTCTACAACACACACACACACACACACACACACACATTTCTCTGTCTCTCTATTTTATTTTATTACAACACACACACATATCTTATATATACTCTTTCTCTCTGTCTCTGTCTCTGTCTCTGTCTCTTTATCACTTTTTAGATTTTCTTTTACTAATAGAATAAACGCTTATCACACCCAACGAACCTGATATAAGCAATATCCTGTCGTGATTTATAAAGCCTGTCGTTATTGAGCAATACATACTGCTGAAGAGCCTTTATTGTACGCATAACTGTTGTGTGCTGATTTAGTTGGTATTGAGCAGGTCTTGTCGAAATGTTGTGTTCATCATCTACCGCAATTACGAAAAGTTGTTTTGGCAAGTGGTAGAGCTGTTGCCTCCCATTTTCCCCCAAGCACACTCCGTTGTCAGCACCACATTTTATTGGCCGAATCCCGTTGTCATCGGTCGCCACTTGAAAAAGTTTGTGGATTTCACACTGTTTTTGCCCAATAAAAGACGCCAATGGCACCGGAAGCACTATTTCTCCGAGCACTCCTGCTGAACATGCAGCTCAAGTAGATATAATGCAACAGATGACAAGTTTATTTGGCAGTGTGGTGCCCATGATGATGATAATGTGGTGGTGATTTGATGATGACGAGGATGACGATAGTAGTAAAGAGACAGAGAATAACAGTAGAGGATCGCAAAAAACGTCGTTCTTTTTGGTGGGTGCTAATTTATTTCTTTTGTTGCCTGGTGTATAATAGAATCGCATATCCATCCCTGTTCCTGTCCCTACTCCTTCCAAAATCATCGCAGAGACATGCACCAGCAATCGTCGTATTCAGAAGAAGCTGCGCGTTCGATTGGTGGTTGTTGTGTGCGATTTGAACCAGTGGGTCGTAAGATCGTCATCGTTTTTGTGAATGCTGCTATTATTTTTGCCAGTAGAGTATAATACAATCGCACACCCATCTCCGTTCCTGCTGTTACTCCTTCCAAAATCATCGCAGAGACATGCAACAACAATCGTCGTGTTCAGGAGAAGTTGCGCGTTCTATTGGTGGTCGTCGTGTACAATTCGAATCCGTGGATCATGAGACCGTCGTCGTCATCGTGGTTGTTACTGTTATTTTTGCTGCTCTATATGTTGCTGTATATAAAATAGCACCGCCATTGTCCATCTTGGCTATACATTGTACAGGAAATCAGTAAACAAAAACAGAAAAAACACACACAAGGACTGAGGACAAGAGATGAGTTTCATTCGAGATGCTTTATTGGTGTTGAAAGGAAAAAGTGCGAGATGTGTAAAATTCGAGTGTTGAGATTAGAGAAAGCGTACAAGACGAATGTTGCTTGCGTGAAGAAGATAGGACGAGTGTAGTTCGAGTGGTGTTCAAAAGGAACGTCAGATGCGGCAAAGCTGGATTCCGACGGAGCGTGTGCAAGATGGCAATTCGAGTGTTGAAATGGCGGTGAGCAGTAAGTAATAAAATAATACAAAGAAGTGAAAGAGCGAAAGAGATGCAGAAGCTACCTTTCATATAAAAAAATTTTTCTTTGAGGAGCGCTGCACCTTGAAAGGGACTTTACCCAAACACGGTGCTCAAGACCATGGATGCCATCACCTTTTCGCCTTGCCTTGTCGTTTCCTCACGTTCCTTCTGCCTTTCCCATCCGTTCATGCTTGTAATCAACACTTCTTTACAGCAAAATATTGGTCACTGCCATTCACGTTATCTACTAATATGTGTCCGACACAGGTTAATTATCTCTCTAGTACAGGTACACATACATCAGCACTCAAGAAGTAGATAAAATAGCCAACAATAAAACAATCCAAAATAAGAGGTGGTGGAGAAGAAGAAGAGAGTCCCATATACATCCAAGCTCATCAATTGGAAACTCTAAACCCAGAACCTTAGTAAACCCGGACCAGGACTTGCGCGTTCGACTAAACCCGCTCGCTCACTGGCGTTCGCTGCCAGGCCCCTAAACCCGTTGCGCTTAATACCCTTCTTTTCAGCCTACTGAGTGTCTTAATGCCCCACGATGTCCTATGTTCATCAGTAGCGTAGCTGCTTGAAATCATGACAATGTACTGAGATCTGTTGGATCGCGTGAATAAAAGAATTTGCATCTGTGTCTGTCGTAGGAAGAAGCCTGGATAACAGCGAAAATGCTGCTGTTTCCTTTTTTTTAACAAACATCCAGCTCCACAATAAGCTTCAACGACGACGTGTTGATGCTGATGCTCTCTTTTCAGTTGCAGTTTCCATTTTCAACTGGGCAAACCAGTGTCTCTTACACAGAAAATCGACAATCCGGTCATTTTATTCCGTTGCAATCAAATAGCGTCTTTGCGTCCAAAGACAAATTACAGCAGAAAGCTGTATAGACTGTAGGTATACAACTCATCAGCTTCCACTGACTGGATTTTCATATACGAACATGCATCAGAACCGCAGATGCCACATTTACTAATGCGTTTTTAAGCTTAAAGCACATGGAGCTCTTTTGTATTTCACACGACAACAGAATCTCATTTCATGAAATACCAGTTTATTAAAGCATGCTAATACTATACACTCAAAAAATGCTATTGCTTCCTTACCTGCATATTGCCGTTGCTTTCCACGGAGCCATCGAAGAATATAGCTTTACTGTCATTATATTCATGGTATCCTTCTCATCCTTACCTATGTGATAATGGGATATCGCCATGCCTGGATCCTTGTAGCGATCCTCATTTGCTTCAGGCCGCTCTTGATCTATAATAATATACACGCTCTTTTTCACTGCTGTTCCTCATCGGCAAGATATGCTACGGACACCACACTAACATCGTCGCGTTCGTCCGTGCGTCCTTATTTTGCCATGCTAAGCGGTTCGTTATTTGGAGTACTCGATGGTGAGATATGGCCGTGCACGAATCGCTCCTTTTTAGCTGACTTTGGTGTATATATATATATGATCCACTATAAAGTACACGTGTAGCGTTTCTGGCTGTTGCTCGTCGACACGACATGGTAGAGACACCAGACCAACATCGTCGCCTTTGTCTGCTCGTCCTTATTCTGGCACACTAAACTGCTCGTTATTTGGAGTACTCGATGGTGAGATATGGCCGTGCGCGAATCGCTCTTTTTTTTGGCTGACTTTGGTGTATATATATATGATCCACTATAAAGTGCACGTGTACCGTTCCTAGTTGTTGCTCGTCGACATGGTATGGTAGAGACACCAAACCACCAGCGTCACGTTCGCCTGCTCGTCCTTATTCTGGCACACTAAGCGGTTCGTTATTTGGAGTACTGGATGGCGAGATATCGTCGTGCGGGTATCGCTCCTTCTTTTTAGCCGACTTTGGTGTATATATATAGAATACACTATAAGTGTACGTGTAGCGTTTCTGGCTGTTGTCGTCGACATGGTATGGTAGAGGCACCAGACCACCAGCGGCACGTTTGTCTGCTCGTCCTGATTCTGGCACACTAAGCAGTTCGTTTTTTGGAGTACTTGATGGTGAGATACAGCCGTGCGGGAATCGCTCCTTTTTTTAGCTGACTTTGGTGTATATGAATATGATCCACTATAAAGTGCACGTGTAGCGTTTCTGGCTGTTGCTCGTCGACATGGTATGGTAAAGACACTAGATTAATATCGTCACGTTTGTCAGCTCGTCCTGATTCTACTGCACTAAACAGTTCGTTATTTGGAGTACTGGATGATGAGATATAGCCGTGCGGGTATCGCTCCTTATTTTTAGCTGACTTTGGTGTATATATATATGATCCACTATAAAATGCACGTGTAGCGTTCCTGGCTGTTGCTCGTCGTCATGACATGGTAGAGACGCCAAACCACAAGCGGCACGTTCGTCAGCTCGTCCTTATTCTGGCACACTAAGCGGTTTGTTATTTGGGGTACTCGATGATGCGATATGGCCGTGCGAGAATTGCTGCTTTTTTTGATTTTGCCAGTTTGCTTGTTAGAAAAAAGAATAAACACGTACCGCCAGGGCTGATGCTCCTTGAAGAAAGCTAATCGCATATATTCGACGTTGTCCTTTCTTTATTCGCATGCTCGTATAGCGTATACAAAAAAAGCGGCCTGTACTGTATAGACTGGTGCAAGTTTTGCTGTCTGTGTGCTGTGGTCATACTTCAATGTGGCACGTCGTTCGTATGGTAATTAACTTTGACTGTTGTCGTGAGATGCAGTAACTTCCGTTTGTTGTAACGTTTGTTGCTGTAGTGCTGCTGTTGCTACTGGAGTACGTTGCTGTCCTCTTCAAGTGGCTAATAGTTTCAGCAATTGCTACTAGTAAAAGAGATTAAACCATTCGCCATCCCAATGCCACAGCTCTTCCAGCATATAAACATCCCTTAAGCTAGATACCTTTTTTTGCAAGCGCCCTTGCTTCAATATGTATAGAATAAAAAGCGGCAGTAAACGAGTGTGCTGAAGAGTAAAAAAAATAAATGATAAAAGAAGTGGAGCTGGCTCCCCTGCTATTTTTCTGTCTTGCTCACCACTTTCCACCAATTACATTGGCCGAATCCCGTTGTCATTCCGTTGTCATCGGTCGCCACTTTAAAAATCCCGTTGTCATTCCGTTGTCATCGGTCGCCACATCAAAAATCCCGTTGTCATTCCGTTGTCATCGGTCGCCACTTCAAAAATCCCGTTGTCATTCCGTTGTCATCGGTCGCCACTTCAAAAATCCCGTTGTCATTCCGTTGTCATCGATCGCCACTTGAAAAAGTTTGTGGAAATCACACTGTTTTTGCCCAATAAAAACGCCAATGGCGCCGGAAGCACCATTTCTCCGAGCACTCCTGCTGAACATAGCTCAAGTAGATATAACGCAACAGATGACAAGACAAATTTACTTTTGCGGCAGTGTGGTGCCCATGATGATGATAATGTGGTGGTGATTTGATGATGACGAGGATGACGATAGTAGTAAAGAGACAGAGAATAACAGTAGAGGATCGCAAAAAACGTCGTTCTTTTTGGTGGGTGCTAATTTATTTCTTTTGTTGCCTGGTGTATAATAGAATCGCATATCCATCCCTGTTCCTGTCCCTACTCCTTCAAAAACCATCGCAGAGACATGCTACAACAAATGTCGTGTTCGACAGACGCTGCTCGTTCTATTGGTGGTCGTTGTGTACAATTCGAATCAGTGGATCGAGAGACCGTCGTCGTCTTCGTGGTTGTTACTTTTATTTTTGCCAGTAGAGTGTAATACAATTGCATATCCACCGACTGTTCCTGCTGCCACTCCTTTAAAAACCATCGCAGAGACATGCTACAACAATTGTCGTGTTCGGAAGACGCTGCTCGTTCGATTGGTGGTCGTTGTGTACAATTCGAATCCATGGTTCGTGAGACCGTCGTCGTCTTCGTGGTTGTTACTTTTATTTTTGCCAGTAGGGTGTAATACAATCGCATATCCACCGACTGTTCCTGCTGTCACTCCTTCAAAAACAATCGCAGAGACATGCCACTACGACCGTCGTGTTCGGAAGAAGCTGCTCGTTCGACTGGTTGTCGTTGTATGCTATTTATTTGAATCAGTGGATCGTGAGACCGTCGTCGCTTTGTGTGGTTATTGCTGTTATTTTTGTTGTTGTACATGAAATAGCACCGCCATTCTCCATCGTGGCTATACAATGTACAGGAAATCATTAACACAAGAAACAAAAGTACACACACAAGGCCGCACAGAACGTTCACGAGCAAAAAGACGGCTAGCCTTTACCTCTTTTCCTTGTAAATTTACACCAGATTCAAACAGTAATCGTTGGAGCGAGTCCAATTCCTATAGAAACAAAATCCGTCAACACAATTCTGCTCCATCTACTAATTAAAACATGGCCGCCCTCCCCAATGCCAGAATGTTCTTCAGCGAGGTCGTCATAAGATGTGTTACCTTTTTTTTTTGAAACCGTCTTCGCTATTACATTAAAAAAAAGAGTACAGTAAAGTATTTTTTGTGGTAGAGAAAAAAAAAGTGGAGCGCCCTTTGCTGTTCCCCAGTAGATTCGCCATTTTCCACCAATTACATTGCCCAAATCCCGTTGTCATTCCGTTGTCATCAGTCGCCACTTGAAATAAATTTCCGTTGTCATCGTTGTCATCATTTTCGCCGTGGCGACCAGGTCGCCACGCCGAAAATGATTCTAGTGAGCATGCAACCTCTCCCCAGTGTATTGCTCATATTGGTCAATGTTTCCGTTGTTTTGGTGACCACTATGTATCGAATCCTGCATGTGTCAAGCCAGTAAGGGATGGCTTCTGTAAGAAATGCCTTGTGCCCAATCAGTGGAACCAAACCATCTTCCATGATGGTAACTGGTCAAACTGCAGTGGTACGTATGAGGACCTCTTATACCGTCTCTGCTGGGCAGCCTATCGGCGTAAGCCCCAATTTATCCGCCAAGCTGGCTACAACAAAAACCACCTTACGGCAATCGAATTACAACAAGACTTTGCCTATTGGCTTATAGCTGCTGGCCCCCACACATATCCAAATAATGCCATGCATCTAGGCCATATAATTTTATCACACTTCTTCATCACATAGAACCTTTACCTCTCTTCTCCTCTCTTCTCTCCTCTTTTCGATTTTTTATATATACAATTATTATATCTTCTTCTCTGCTCCCCTTTTTATCTTTTATATTAGATCTCTCTTGCCTCTTTTATCTTGTATCCCTTTCTCTCTTTTTGACTCTTATCCCTTTCTATTCTTATATTCTCAAATATATTTTACTTATCAAATGGATTTATACTTTATAAAAAAAAGTTGGGGTAGACCTAGGTCTACTAGGCATACTTAGTTGAGATTACCCTTTGCTAAATATTAAATGGCTTCCATCTCTACAACGTATTAATGAAGTAGGATATTTTATCATAATAAATCGTGTTCCTGGACCATTTCTTTATCCAAAGATCAAATAAAAATTGTGAGTATACCTGGGGTATACCTGGGGTATACTAGGCATACTTGGTATAGATTTCCTTTGCCAATAATAAATGGCTTATATCTCCACAACCTATTAATTGAGTCGGACTTTTCATTATAATAAATCGTGTTCCTGGACCATTTCTTTATCCAAACATTAAATAAAAATTATGAGTATACCTGGGGTATACCTGGGGTATACTGGGCATACTTAGTACGGATTGCCTTTGCTCAATATTAAATGGCTTATATCTCTACAACTTATTAATGAAGTAGGACTTTTCATCATAATAAATCGTGTTCCTAGACCGTTTTTCTATCCAAATATCAAATACCAATTTTGCGTATACCTGGGGTATACCTGGGGTATACTAGGCATACTTACTAGAGATTACCCTTTGCTCAATAGTAAATGGCTTATATCTCCACAACCTATTAATGAAGTCGGACTTTTCATCATAATAAATCGTGTTCATGGACTGTTTTTCTATCTAAATATCAAATAAAAAGTTTGAGTATACCTGGGGTATACCTGGGTATACTAGGTATACTCCACCTACTAAGTAATCGCTGTGGCAATTCTATAAAAAAAAAACTGTTACTGAAAAAAACGAATCCAACCCAATGGTCAAAAAAAGAAAACTTACAATGATTGAGAACGGTTCTGAAGAGCTTTGGCCAAACAAAAAGTGTAGTATACAGGCTCTACATGATCAAAGGTATAGGCATATATTTGCCTAGTAGTGGTTTAATATATATGAACTTACACCGTTTGCTGTGTAGCTCGACAATACATCCAGATATTCTATTGTCGTACATTACAGACTCGGTCGAGATAAAGCCGGACGGATGGTGTAGGTTCAGAACTTTGTCGTATCTCGAATATAAAAGCAATCAAGATAAATACGCCGACATCAAAAAAAGAATGCATGAGTACATGGTGGCTAAGGGAAAAAGCATTTGTTTATCTTACATCTGTGGTGGCAGCCAGACGGAATATGAAAAACTGGTCAAAAGGATGTCTTATGGTGTCGCCTTTGGTGATATTGAGGCCGACTGTCCCAAGGAGTACTGGTTTGACGGAAGCGTGGATATTTAGTTGGTAGCCAATGCTTTGGAGCGGCTGATTGCTTGCTATACATCTGGTCTATGGGCGAAATATCATCCGCCGTTGCTGACATTGCCATACTCTGTACTTTCGGGCAAACGATATAGTCTCCTGCCGTTCGTTATGCATTTCATGAATGGGAACCATTAGGAGCCGGTCTTGCTGCGATCATCTGTTAAAATGCAATGGCCCCCGATATCACAGCGACATAAGCAGCAATAGAACGAGATCAACCTAGGTCACGATCACAAAACGTTTTGGAGGTACCTGCATATTAAAAAAACAGTGGATCAAGATTCAACAGCAATCAGCATAGAAAAAAGAAGACAAGCGTCGCCCATTCTGATTTTAGATGAATCTGATTGCGATATTGATATGTGGGGCGATCATCATGGTACCTATAACTTGCCGCTCCGTATCTTTGTATTCTAGTAACTCTGAACACATCTATTATACTATCTAGATCATGGTGCAATAGCATGTCCCCATTGTCAAACACACCTGCTATTACCGTTACCTCCTGCTATACAGAAGCAGTACGATGAATATATACAAAAAGAGGAGAAGCATAAGAAATAAGACGAACGCCGCATTAAAGAACTTTCAACGTCTCGTCGCCGCTGCTTCGATGAAGCACAGATTAAACCCAGACCAGTTCGCTTTACTGAGCAATACAACTTCTGCAGCATTCATAGGAAAGAAATGTTGATCAGACCAGAAGGAATCGCCTAAGGTTACCCAGCTCATATCGATTTTGCGACCTTGCCTTTACGTGTAATGAATTATGTACCAGTTATACAAGATATCATAGTCAGCAAAACCGAAAGCACATTCAAATCGATAGAAACCGAATTCTACAGCCAATATAGCCGAAGTGTTGCACGATCCATATTCGTACGAATGGCAAGGGCTGAAAAATCTTTAGTAAGTACAAAGCTATCACTCATAAAATAACTTACTAAATCTTTGTTTAAAACAGCCTGGTTATATGGACCCCGTGGAATGCAAATCATTATGGATTGTTTGACGAAAGAACTATTGAAATCGAACCACCTGACAGCAGCAAATACAGCCCCGATGCCACCACTTCAGTTTGTTCAGCAGATTCTTGTTCGGGAGATAGCTGCACGACTTATCCAAGAAGATAAGAATGTTTCTTACGACGACGCAGTAGATATCATGAAAAAGAGTGCTAAATTCAGCAGTGCCATCAATCCCACCATGGATTCGGATGAAAGTGAAAGCAGTGATGAATGATTATAAAAAGCAACACGAATCATAACCCCTTATGCAGTTCTGCACTTTTTTTTGTATCAAATGTCGTTTACCTTATTGTACTCGACGATTTATGCTCTTCTTGTCTCATATTTAAGCTCTTGTGCCTTGTCTCCGGATTAATTGTTCTTTACAATCATATCAAAACCTATTTTCCTGATCCCTTATTTCTTACTACATGTTTTGTTCTTCACCCTCCAAATATTCAACTATTTGGTGTACACATTATTATTATCTTACATTATATATACGTCGAATATTACATTGACCGTCAAAATTTTAACTGAATAGAATTATATGACAGCCCTAGCTCTAGCAAGTTTTAGAACACGAAATACAGGATATGTCTTTGCAGCCAATACCACCGTCATAGATATTAAAATGGTGAAAAAGCTTGGTGCACCGTCTACTCACTTTTCTATAGTCTTAGCTACGTTTTTTTGTGCTTACTTAGAAATCTTCTTGCTTGTGCTTCACTATATTATAGTACTTATGTTGGCACAAATAAGTTGTTTGCTAGCCATTTGGATACACGGTATGTTAACATTCCAAGTTACACGGTATATATCATCATAGTTCTGTCGTACACAGGGTCTTTTAAATTGTGCAAGAGACGGTACGTACGACAACTGCCAAAGAAAATTGTCGTATGCAACGTTAGTTTTTTGTTGTACACAGAGTCTTTCAAACTGCACGAGAGACGGTGCGCACAACAACTGCAGAATACTAAGCTACCAAAAAAAATGTCGTGCATGAGGTCAAGTTTTGTCGTGTGCGCAGTAATTCCTAAAGTATAATACTATAAATGTATAAGCAATGGGATCATCTATAGACTTACTATATAAAAATATATGCTTTTATACTTATTGGAACGAGGAAAAATAGCTGCATCTGATGGTATATTATTTATATGAAAATAATCAGAATTGGTTGGATAATAGTAAAAACCAGTTTTTCAAAAAACATTTACACTAAAGTTTGGTAAAAGGGGGTTTTAAACTCGTGCCTTCTACAAAAGGTAGGATATAAGGCTAGTGCGTTAGACCACTTCACCAACGCAAAGATTTTGAAAAATTAAGTATACATATCTGCTTTTGCTGTAGCCCAGGAAAACGTTTAGCCGTCGGGAAAACCAATTACCTATCTATTTCCTTTTTAGGAAGTCACGTGATCTAAGCCACTTAGCAAGCCCCCGGGAAAACGTTTAGCCGTGGGGGAAGTCAATTACCTGTCTATTTCCTTTTTAGGAAGTTATGAGATCTAAGCCACTTAGGGTACTCTCAGGTTGCTCTCATTTCGCTCCGAACAGAGAACCCAAAACAGTTTTGCAAAAATTTAAAGTCCTCTCTACTCGGATCGAGATAAAGGCGCAACGCGCCGAGAAACTTCCTTTTCTGTACATACCCCGAGGTGTTGCATGAATAACAACGCGATTGCGAATAATAGCTGATGGTGGAATATCGTTCATTTTTTGATAAAAGCAGATAGAATAGATGGAAAATAGAGGTGTATTTTTCTTTCAATCTTTTATTATTCATGAAGTGACAGTTTCCTTTTATATCGATCCGAGCGAGCCACCACGGAGGCCTTCCCATCGGAGAAGCCGTTACCAAAATTGGAGGCCTCCGAGAAGCCCTCTTTTGGAAGGAAAACGGAAAATTTATTTTCCATTACTACATTGGGGTATGGTGTTCTCTGTTCGGAGCGAAATGAGAGCAACCTCAAGCAACGTGAGTCAACGTCGACACATAATTCTTAGAATGGAAATTCGGAAGAAATAAAAAAAAATTTGTATCCCGCTGTGAAACCATAGCTAATTCCAAATGTGCGTGTGTCGACCCATTTGCTTGAGAGATCACAGTTGCTAAAACGGGTAATGATAGCGGATATCAACGATAAGTGATAACTGATGCGAGTTTCCCCTAGATATGACCATCAATTATACTTCAAAAAGGGTTCTGATTTCTTTGCCGATGTATAACTGACAGCTACGGTTGTATCCGGCAGCATGATAGATGTAACTGTGAATATTGATAGAAAACTAAAACACCAGTTGCAAAAAAAGCGGCAGATAGTCTATTATTGCATGATGGAGATAGGTGAAGATCCTATCATGAAGGTGAAGATACTATGATTTGCGTTTGCAATCCTAACAGCTTATGAAAACTGTATATGTAATTCTCCCGCAAGCGATTCGGGTATATATAAAAGTAAGGTACGTTCAGTAGGAAGATGAGTAATTAACTTTTTTTTTCAAAATGTCATCCCAAGAACAAACACCTTGTGAACTCTCAATTGTTATCGTTAATCCTGGTGGTGCAGGTCGTGGCAGTGGCTCTGGAAGTCGTGGCGGTCGTGGTCATGGCAGTCGTAGCGGTCGTAGTAGTCGTGGCGGTCGTGGTGGTCATAGTAATAGTAGCGACAATCGAAGCAGCACTCCTGTTGTTCAAGCCAATAACCAGTCCAACAGCAACATGCAAAGCAATGAAAGCAACAACGACACCACCGCATCCTAATCTTCTGTCCCGACACAAAGCTCCCCTGAACATTGGATTGAGGCTGAAGAAAGGGCTTTGCTAACAATTCCCTTATTCCGGCACAAAAATAAGAGTTGGTAGTTCCCCCCCTCAAATTTTTTGAAGTTTAAGGTCAGCCACCAGAGACACTGTACTGGGCAGCAGAGGGGCATTTGACAAAGTACTTATTCTACCCCAAATTTAACTTTGAAAGTCAGTTACGAGAGAGTGTAAAGACAGTTGAAAAAAACATTAAAGTGTACTTGTCATCTTGTTTCATAAGAGAATTGTATATTTCAACCATATGAAAGGTAAGTAAAGAGAGAATGGGAGAGGCAAGATCTTACTACTACAATAAGAAAAACAAAAATGGAGGTAAAAAACAAACCACTTTTCATATAAGAAATAAACTTGGTTTGTTATTATTACTTCTTTACAACTTCCTTTTTCACCTCCATTTTTGTTTCTCCTCTTGTAGTAGTAAGATCTTGCCCCTCCCATTCTCTCTTTACTTACCTTTCATATAGTTGAAATATACAATTCTCTTATGAAACAAGATGACAAGTACACTTTAATGTTTTTTTCAACTGTCTTTACACTCTCTCGCAACTGACTTTCAAAGTTAAATTTGGGGTAGAATAAGTACTTTGTCAAATGCCCCTCTGCTGCCCAGTACAGAGTCTCTGGCGGCTGACCTTAAAATTCAAAAAAAAATGAGGGGGGGAACTACCAACTCTTATTTTTATGCTGGAATAAGGGTATTGCTTTGCTAACCGCAGTCTCTAAGCATTATGATGAGCTTACGCATCCAAGAGACAACAATCATTGCAGCCGTACATGGGATGCAATCATTGAAGATTTCAAGAAAGAGTGTACACCTCTAGCATCACCAATTGTTACTGATGGCACTCAAGAAAGCGAACAGTCTTTGGATGAGCAGCAGCCAGCACCTTCGTCTCTTGTCGTCGAGCCGAGCAGTATTTCGAGCGACGATCAAGCAACGTCATTAGCAGCAGCAGCAACAGCAGCAACAGATCCATCGGCTTCCGACCTCACGAATGATAACAGTACTGTCGAAACTTTCGGTAATGTACGAACTAAGCGCGCCATCAAAACCAAGTGGGAAAGAATGTGCAGTCGTTACCATTCGTGCTTTACCGAACGCCATCGGTAGACTGGAGGGTCCGGTGACATAGACGACTGGTATTTATATGATGACATGCATGCGTTACTGAAGGATGACCCGAGGTTCAATCGTGAATTCCAGTTCGATTCTTTCTGAGGCATTCGTCGTCGCGCCGATACATAAACAGCAACCGACAGCACGCTGCAGCCATCCGCAAGACGTAGACGATTGACTCCTGCAGAATTGCGGCATGAAGATGTGCTTGAGCGGATCGATGCCGCCAACCAGCAGAGCGAGGAAGCGAGGTCACAGCTGATCGAGCTACTCGATCAGCAACATAAGGAAATCCTTGAAGCTCAAGAAAGGCGCCACTAGCAACAGCAACACACACAACAGAGCTTTTTAGATTTAATGAAGCAACTTATTGACAAGATGTAGAATCTTTTTTGTTTGATTTTTTATTTTAAATTCAATAAAGTTTTTTTTCCTTCGGGTTTTTTTTATATAATCAAGTGCCTCAAAAGATAACTAGTTATGAAGACATATTTATTTTCTATCTGCGTCTATAATGGCGATTATATTGACGGAAGCTCTTACGATCGCTACGCCGATTCTCGTACAAGTACTGTACTAGTTCATTACGTTTCCGCATACCTTCATTTCGCAGTTGCGTAGTGGTACAGCGCGCACCACGACCTCTGTCATTGATAGAGTCAGAAACTTCGAGTGGCTCTAGAAGCAAATCATCAGCTATCGGATTAGGTACAAATGTGCTTTCGGCATGAAGATCGTCGTGATCAATACATAAATTATGCAGAATACAGCAAGCAACAATTGTCATCGTCATTGATTCTACATCCAGCAAATACAGCTCGTTACGTAGAAAACGCCATCTGCACACCAATTGGCCAAATGCCTGTTTAATAACGTTACGCATTCTCGAATGAATATAATTGAAATGCGCGTTGTCACTGTGGCAGGGTGCTTGAGCATCAGGAAATGGTGTTATCAACTACAGGAGCAAAGGGTATGCCGAATTTACAAACAAAAAATGGAATGTCAGAAATATGTACCGTGATTTCAACGATGGTCTATGCTAAACAATTTGTTCTTTACCTCCAAGTATAAATGTTCCATTTGGGCACACGGATTCTGGGTTAGCAAGACGTTCGTCATAAAAAGCAGTAGCTTGAAAGGCTCTTGAATCGTGATTTTGGCCTATGGTATAAAAGTCGTATATATTAGCCAAGAAAGCAACTAAAATAATTACATTAACATGTCATGCCTTACCGCTCTGCCCTGCATGGATGTAGGTGAATCGCTTTTCTGAATCATAAATGGCAACCATGTTCAACGAGTAGTTGTTTTTTCTGTCGACAAAGCGATCGCCACTGTCACCTGGCTTGAAGATTCGAACGAGCTTCCCATCCAAAGCACCGAGTACATTTGGGAGGTGAGTAGGTCCAACTTCAAATATTGGTCCAAGCTCTCCATATTGAAACCCTTCAACGGTTGCCTTGATAGCTTCATTTCTGGTCGGCCATCGGATTATACCACCTTGACAGTCGGCCATTGCCTCCAAAAATCGCTTGGTAAAATTTCTGTAGGATCCATGTGATGTACCAAGCAAAGTTTCGGCCATACGGTAACTGACATGAGCATTGGCAAATCTCTAGATTATTAGGCCGACTTAGATGAACACAGGTGTGGCGTTTTGTGCCGTAAATTGATACAATCGATGTTGCGACAACATATTTACGAGGGCATTGAAAGTGGCTGGTTTCATACGATAATGCGATTTGAATCCACCTGGTCCATCTGTATCCGGAAGAGCTGGATGCGTAACTTCCCAGTATGTCGTATTTTTAACACGATTGACGCGTTGCATAACACGGAAATGTAGCGGTGATGATACAGCTGACATGATATGATCAAGAGAAAAAATGGTTCGGTACATTGGCAAAACAGTGTTGATCATGGAGAGTTGGTTGATATCATCGTCGTCATTATTCGCAAGAAAAAAAAAGATGTAGCCTTCAATCAAAAGAAGTAGGATGCTGATGATCGTTCTTCTGTGGACAATTTCTTGCTGGGAATCCATAATAATAGACAGAAGGTAGGATGAAGGATATAAAAAGTACGAATAAAAGTTGAGTGGAACAAAACAAGAAGTATTACTCAAAGTCGCTGCATATATAGAAGATATTTTCTTATCGGTAATGTTCTTATCATTTCATGATATGTAGAACTATGGAATCAGTTCCGTCTAAATAACAAGTTGGTATATCTAATGTTATGTAAAATGGTATACTTGACCCTCCTAGGTATTACTTGATAGATAATTAAATATCAAAGTAATATTTTCTCAGTCGCATGGATGTGTAACAAAAATCTGAGACGATATCCTTTTTGGGAGTGCTGTGTCAACCAAGGGGTCGACACGGCAGTTTTGCTCTTCATTTCCTTATCAAGGATATGATATAAATTACACAAAAAAATCCTGTGTTCATTGTATCACTTTTATTCGACTCCCGAACAACGCGCTATTACTATTTCTAGGGTGTGTCGACGTTGACTCACGTTGCTTGAGAGTACCCTAAAGCATATATGTCTGCTGTTGCTTAGTCCGGGAAAACGATTAGCCATCGGGAAAACCAATTAACTGTCTATTTCCTTTTTAGGAAGTCATGTGATCTAAGCCACTTAGCAAGCCCCTAGGAAAACGTTTAGCCATCGGGAAAACCAATTAACTGTCTATTTCCTTTTTGGGAAGTCACGTGATCTAAGCTACTTAGCAAGCCCCTGGGAAAATGTTTAGCCGTTGGGAAAACCAATTAACTATCTATTTCCTTTTTAGGAAGTCACGTGATCTAAGCCACTTAGTAAGCCACTTAGTAAGCCACTGAGCCACCGGGTAAATTCTTACAGTCACCCCTTGGGGGCTTAGTAAGTGGCTTAGATCACGTGACTTCCTAAAAAGGAAATAGACAGTTAATTGGTTTTCCCGATGGCTAAACGTTTTCCCAGGGGCTTGCTAAGTGGCTTAGATCATGTGACTTCCTAAAAAGGAAATAGACAGTTAATTAGTTTTCCCGACGGCTAAACATTTTCCCAGGGGCTTGCTAAATGGCTTAGATCATGTGACTTCCTAAAAAGGAAATAGATGGGTAATTGGTTTTCCCGACGGCTAAACGTTTTCCTGGGCTACAGCAAAAGCAGATATGTATACTTAATTTTTCAAAATCTTTGCGTTGGTGAAGTAGTCTAACGCACTAGCCTTATATCCTACCTTTTGTAGAAGGCACGAGTTTAAAACCCCCTTTTGCCAAACTTTATTGTAAATGTTTTTTGAAAAACTGGTTTTTGCTATTATCCAACCAATTCTGATTATTTTCATATAAATAATATACCATCAGATGCAGCTTTTTTTCCTCGTTCCAATAAGTATAAAAGCATATATTTTTATATAGTAAGTCTATAGATGATCCCATTGCTTATACATTTATGGTATTATACTTTAGGAATTACTACGCACACGACAAAACTTGACCTCATGCACGACATTTTTTTGGTAGCTTAGTATTCTGCAGTTGTTGTACGCACCGTCTCTCGTGCAGTTTGAAAGACTCTGTGTACAACAAAAAACTAATGTTGCGTACGACAATTTTCTTTGGCAGTTGTCGTACGTACCGTCTCTTGCACAATTTAAAAGACCCTGTGTACGACAGAACTATGATGATATATACCGTGTAACGTGGAATGTTAACATACCGTGTATCCAAATGGCTAGCAAACAACTTATTTGTGCCAACATAAGTACTATAATATAGTGAAGCACAAGCAAGAAGATTTCTAAGTAAGCACAAAAAAACGTAGCTAAGACTATAGAAAAGTGAGTAGACGGTGCACCAAGCTTTTTCACCATTTTAATATCTATGACGGTGGTATTGGCTGCAAAGACATATCCTATATTTCGTGTTCTAAAACTTGCTAGAGCTAGGGCTGTCATATAATTCTATTCAGTTAAAATTTTGACGGTCAATGTAATATTCGACGTATATATAATGTAAGATGATAATAATGTGTACACCAAATAGTTGAATATTTGGAGGGTGAAGAACAAAACATGTAGTAAGAAATAAGGGATCAGGAAAATAGGTTTTGATATGATTGTAAAGAACAATTAATCCGGAGACAAGGCACAAGAGCTTAAATATGAGACAAGAAGAGCATAAATCATCGAGTACGATGAGGTAAACGACATTTGACACAAAAAAAAGTGCAGAACTGCATAAGGGGTTATGATTCGTGTTGCTTTTTATAATCATTCATCACTGCTTTCACTTTCATCCGAATCCATGGTGGGATTGATGGCACTGCTGAATTTAGCACTCTTTTTCATGATATCTACTGCGTCGTCGTAAGAAACATTCTTATCTTCTTGGATAAGTCGTGCAGCTATCTCCCGAACAAGAATCTGCTGAACAAACTGAAGTGGTGGCATCGGGGCTGTATTTGCTGCTGTCAGGTGGTTCGATTTCAATAGTTCTTTCGTCAAACAATCCATAATGATTTGCATTCCACGGGGTCCATATAACCAGGCTGTTTTAAACAAAGATTTAGTAAGTTATTTTATGAGTGATAGCTTTGTACTTACTAAAGATTTTTCAGCCCTTGCCATTCGTACGAATATGGATCGTGCAACACTTCGGCTATATTGGCTGTAGAATTCGGTTTCTATCGATTTGAATGTGCTTTCGGTTTTGCCGACTATGATATCTTGTATAACTGGTACATAATTCATTACACGTAAAGGCAAGGTCGCAAAATCGATATAAGCTGGGTAACCTTAGGCGATTCCTTCTGGTCTGATTAACATTTCTTTCCTATGAATGCTGCAGAAGTTGTATTGCTCAGTAAAGCGAACTGGTCTGGGTTTAATCTGTGCTTCATCGAAGCAGCGGCGACGAGACGTTGAAAGTTCTTTAATGCGGCGTTCGTCTTGTTTCTTATGCTTCTCTTCTTTTTGTATATATTCATCGTACTGCTTCTATATAGCAGGAGGTAACGGTAATAGCAGGTGTGTTTGACAATGGGGACATGCTATTGTACCATGATCTAGATAGTATAACAGATGTGTTCAGAGTTACTAGAATACAAAGATACGGAGCGGCAAGTTATAGGTACCATGATAATCGCCCCACATATCAATATCGCAATCAGATTCATCTAAAATCAGAATGGGCGACGCTTGTCTTCTTTTTTCTATGCTGATTGCTGTTGAATCTTGATCCATTGTTTTTTTGATATGCAGGTACCTCCAAAACGTTTTGTGATCGTGACCTAGGTTGATCTCGTTCTATTGCTGCTTATGTCGCTGTGATATCGGGGGCCATCGCATTTTAACAGATGATCGCAGCAAGACCGGCTCCTAATGGTTCCCATTCATGAAATGCATAACGAACGGCAGGAGACTATATCGTTTGCCTGAAA